TATTCAGACTACTTAGGGTGGGTAGCACTCACACCCTTAATCCTTGTGCCCTCAGGCTAGCATTGCACTTTGGTTTAATCACACACTCTAGATTTAGTCACCTCTGAAAAAGTCCCACTTACGGCTGCATGAGGCTTTTGGGGGACATCTAGACACAAGCCATAACACTAACACTTCCCATAATGCATCTGCTTGTTCATCTGGGTTTTGGCACATTAAAAACTTTCAACAAAATACTTGTTAGGGTGGGAGATTTAGCTCAGTGGTTCTGGCACCTGCCTTGCAGGAACAAGGGCCTGAGTTTGATCCCTGGTACCAAAAACAACAACAACAACGACAACATAAATATTTGTTAAATGAATGAACAGCTGAGTCATGTGACCAGCCTATACTGTGTATGTGTATGTACAGTTGCACATATGGGTTTTTGGGTTTTTTTTTTTTTTTGCAATGGTGGGGATCCAACACAGGGACTCATGCAGGCTAGGCAATGTCCTACCATTGACCTATATCCCTATTCCATTTTTAGATTTTTATTTTGAGATATGCTTTCATTAAGTTGTCTAAGCTGGCCTTAAAGTTGTGATCCTTCTGGCTTAGCCCCAAGTAGCTGGGATAACAGGTGTGTACCACCGCACATAGCAGAACCAGTGATTTCTTAGGGAGCCCTGGTTTCTTAGTAGGGAAAGGCACAATCCAGGTGCATGGTACATACACTGTTCCTGGGACAGAGGTAGGAAATGTATGCTGTTGGAAAGAACAAGGATGAATTTACTTACATTTCCATTTCCTATTCTGAATTACAGGGCTTTTAGTTAGCTTTTGATCTTACTCTTATCTTTCTCAGAAAAATCTTAGTTTAAACATTAATATAATTGGTTAATTAGTTTTAACTTACCCTACATAAGACTAATAACAAGCTGGGCATGGTGGCCTGTAATCGCAGCACTTGGGAGGCTGAGGTAGGAGGATCACCATGAGTTCGAGGCCAGGCTGAGTTATACAGTGAATTCAGGGCCAGCCTGAAATGCTAAGCAAGACCCAGACTGAAAAGAACTAAAAACCAAACCAAAACAAAAAATTAATAATAATTACATTGCTGAATGAAATTTGGGGTTAATGACTCCATTTTTTGGTGTTTTTTTTTAAAGATGACTATTTTTCTTTGTAGTTCACCAATTTGCACAAAGTAGCATGTGCTAACACCCTGGAATAACCCCTCCGCAACTATCCCTGGTTGATACGCAGGTGGGCTGGACGCTATTGATGCCCAGGCCCACAGCTTGTTATACGTGGCACACTTCAGAGCAGCTGAAGTGCAAATGGAGCAGATGAGGGGTGCAAAACCCAAGCACCCTAGGGCTGCCAAGCTCACAGTGGGAACCAGTTCCCCAGCACATCTGGCCTTCCTTTCGGGTCTCTGACTTCCTACCTCCTTTCAACTGCTGCTCCAAATCCCGTCCAAATTCTTGTCTCTGGGTCAGCTTCTATAGAACCCAAATTAAAGCAATTCAGTTCATTCATTTCAGATTCTAATTTTCAGTTTTAGAGATTGTCTAAAAGTTTACTTTGGAAATATGCAAAACATTTGTCCAAAGTATTACTTCCCAGTATATTCTGTCCCATTCCTACCCATCCCCTGCATTGCCCACACCTGCATTTTTTTTTCTTTTAATCTTTCTGGTGTCTTCAGAGAAGAAAGCAAAAATGCATTTGCACTGTATTAAATATACTGTGATGCACTATATTAAGGCCATCCTCACTCCTTCTCACAGATATACAGCACTCCACTACTTGGATGAATACATCTTATCTCCTAGCAACGGGCATTTTGTTGTTCCCAGTATTTAAAATGCCATGATGAGTAACTACACAGTCACTTCATTTCTTGAGATGTATTTCTACAGCTGCTGAGTCAAAGGACAAATGAATATATAGTTTTGTTACATGTTGCAAAATTGTCTTCCATAGTAGCTGTAATGTTCTGCATTCCCACTAACCATTTACAAGAGCTTCACATCCTACCTCCTCAAACTTGTGGATGTTCATCAATCACATAGGTGGTAATTTTTATTATAGTCTTTTTATTTTGGGCTAGTATTTTAACTGTTTCTTTGAGGCATAATTAATGAAGATAATGAACATATCCACCACCTACAAATGTCTTCTTGCTTTAGGGGAACCTCCCCCCATCCAAGGCTGCAGGGAACCACTGACCTGCTCTCCCTCACTACATGTTGGTTAGCACTCTCTAGTGCTACAATCACACAGCATGTGGTTTTTTGTTGGCTTTTCTTTCTGGGCATAATGATTTTGAGACTCATCCATTCTGCCCGATCCATTCAGATCATTCCTTTAAAGGCAGAGGAGCACTTTGTGGGCGCAATAGTGTCCCTTCCCAAGTGTGATGGGTTGTTCTCTTGCTGCTGCATGCAATTAACCAAAAACTCCCAAGTGGTTTTCAATGGCTAGATTTCCACTTTTTATGTTGTTTCTGTCCAAGAACCTGAGACACTGGCTTTAAATTTATCACATCTGAACTTTTCTAATTGTTGAGTGCCTACCCAGTTATTCAATTTTATTTTGCATTACATCCTAGCATTCCCCAAAGTCTAGCCCAGAATAAGTAATTTAATTCCTAAAGAACACAACTGCTGGCCACTGAATATGAAAACACACTATGAAGGTAGAGAGATCACATCCTTCCTGTGTTCAATACCCCACAGTGAACATGTCTTCATGTGCAAAATTCATAAACTGCTGCTTGGCCTGCCTTATGAAAAGCATTTCTTACCAAAACAAAGAACCACAGAACACTCCAAGGAAGAAATTTATATTATTTTCTAATGGAAAATTTTGTAAAGAATGCATTTAAGGGCTGGGATTTAGCTAAGTGGTTCTGCCACCTGCCTCACAAGCACAAGGACCCGAGTTCAGTCTCGGTACCAAAAAAAAAAAAAAAAAAAAAAAAAAAA